ACACACACACACACTAACTGTGTGCTTGTGTGACCTGCGGCAAATAAGCTGGGCGACAACAGGCGCACACAGAGAAATCAGCACAGAAAGAAGGCTCAAGAAAGAGTGCAAAAGAAGGAGACCCAAAAGGAGTCTCTGCCTGCCAATTTGAGGGCGCGCAATCAATCGATCGATTGATTGCTCCTGCAAAAGGCTATCTCTCGTCAGCTGAGTGCAGACATCGAAAACAATTGCATGAATTGCCGCAAAAAATAAGGCTGAACGAGAGAAGTGTCCACTTTTGGCAATGGCAGCTGCTGTTTCATAAGCTTGCTGCTGCAGTCGTGGTCGTCGCCTCTGTCTCTGGTGACGCTGAACTGTCAGGAGCGCACTGGAGAACCAGTCAAGCGGCGAACAAGTTGACAAAGCACCACACTCTTTCTGTGTGTGTGCGATTGGAGAAATTCCAGTTGAATGGCTGCCGCTGTACAGTTAATTAGTCAATAAATATAATTATACGACTGATTAGAGACACTTTGTAGTTTGCCGAGAGAGAAAGCTTCTGTTCCTGTCTCTGTCTCTTTGCACAGGTTGGAGGAAGGGAGGCACACAAACAAACCGGATAGCTGTGCACGAAAAGAGAAAGGGGAAAAGAGCTGTCTCTCACTAAGCTCTTCCTAAAGATTCCATAATGATCGAATAAAAGAGTCGTTTCGAAAATAACTTCACTCAAGCGAATTACTCGCCATCTAGTGGTGGCCCTTCGTAGTAAAGAAAAAAGCAAACTGATGCGCGCTGAAAATGTGAACTTTCGAATGTGGTGAATGTCACCTACCATTATGGTGCCGCCTCCCATGATCAGCTTCTTCATAAAATCCTTGCTCGGATTCTTGAAGGTGAGCCTTTCCCGGCGCAGCTTGTACACTGGCTTGTCNAATTACTCGCCATCTAGTGGTGGCCCTTCGTAGTAAAGAAAAAAGCAAACTGATGCGCGCTGAAAATGTGAACTTTCGAATGTGGTGAATGTCACCTACCATTATGGTGCCGCCTCCCATGATCAGCTTCTTCATAAAATCCTTGCTCGGATTCTTGAAGGTGAGCCTTTCCCGGCGCAGCTTGTACACTGGCTTGTCCATTTCAATATAGAGGTCATAGAGAAATCGTATACTTCTGGGCTCTGCTTTATTGCGAAAGAACACTTCGATAATCACATCGAAGCTTGCATAGCCAGTCTCGGTTATTTCGTATGGCGGCTCTTTGATGACTGTTGGAGTAAAATGGTACAAAAGTTAGTTATCATCTTTAACAAACAAACTTTACCAAATCTATCACTCACCTCGCTTTGGTTTGGCAAAACTATTGTGCAAATTAAAGACGACTTTTTCCACAAAATGCTTAAGGTCGTACTTGTTTTCAAAACTGTTAAGCCGTAACGTCCTGTTGAAAAAAATGAAAAGTAGAATCATTATTAATTGCCAGTGCCTGTTTCCACTAATTGCCTGCTGAGAATGATGGCTGAAGAGAAAAAAAAGGGGAAAAAAGAAAACCAGTAAAAAGGGAGGCACCCAAGATAGAGCTGAATTATATGGGGCAGAGCAAAACGTGGCAGAGTCCGTAAATCACCTCGACCCGGTCAACACTGACTGTCAATCAGAGCCAACAACGTCATTTAGCCCAGCACACTCTTACTAGACGACCACATCATTTGTTGGCGTGCACACACCATCTGTGCACATATTGTTAGAGTAGTCACCAAATGATTGGAGACATGTGGACATGCCTGCCACAACACCAACTGACTGGGACAGTAATGGACCAGAACACCACGGCAACGAGTGGAACACATTTCATTACTACAACTACTTCCAGCGCTTATAATTGCTAATTAGTCTCAGCAATTCTGTCAATTTGCACCAACACACTCAAAAGTGTGCCCTGACAAATAGTACACTTGTTTGTTTGTTTACTAGAAACACTAGTCTTCGGCAAACAACAGTCAACAGAGGTTTTCCGACCAGGGTAGAGGGGTCGAAGCTCACACTGGTTAATGAGGACAGGATCACGCAGCTAAGTATACGCAAAAACGAGTGAACGTAGCAGATGAAAACCATCAGGAAATCCATTACTGCAGTGGCTGAATCATTAACTGGTAACTTAATTTAGAGCAGAGAAAAAGGGGACCAATGCCAGGCAAACAATTAAGCACAAAGTAGAGTAGTGGTGCAGTCTGGGCCCAGTCTGGCTGAAGCAGCAAAGGCAATTACCGCAGTGGCCAGAGAGCACACTCTCAATGCGGTAATTGAACAAAATGGATGAGAGAAATACAGTGCCTTCTCTAGCAGTACAATGACCAGATGAGTTCATCTTCAATGTACAAAAATTCCCACTGCACAAAGAGGCAACTTCGATTAGATTATAAACAGCCACTGTTCTTCCTTGACCAGACACCAGTGGGTGAAAATTGCAAAAGAAAGGCAATGTAGGTGTTGTGCAGCAGCCAGTCCACCAAATATGGGGACATGCGTAGTGTACATCGTGATACAATTAATCAGCCCCAATTAACAATGAGAGTGGTCAGGATATTTGAGNGATTGCAAAAGAAAGGCAATGTAAGTGTTGTGCAGCAGCCAGTCCACCGAATATGGGGACATGCGTAGTGTACATCGTGATACAATTAATCAGCCCCAATTAACAATGAGAGTGGTCAGGATATTTGAGAGCCAACAAAGGATGACCGGGTAGTTAGCATTAGTGAGACACACGCAATAGAAGTGAAAGTGATCACGATGATCACTGAAACTGGCCACTGAGAAGTGGTCAATGACTGACCACCGACACAACAGCAGCAAAGCAGCTGAAAAACAAATGACACATTTCCAAGGAAAACACGTACAGGGCAGACAACGGCAAATTTGAAGATCCACGACACAATACAATGACACAGCAACACCAAGTGGGCTATCTTTCAAGCGGAACATTAAACAAATGGGACAAACCGTGGTGATAAACGATCAACTTTAAACGACTCTTGAAGCACTCCCAGTGAGCAATGACCTTTAGAGTGAGAGAACGAAGAGAGCCAATTAATTTATTAATGATCGAGCGAATGGAGAATAGCTTACACCAAGCCAATGAGAGATGATCAACTTTTGGTGCAGATGTGTCAAGCGGTGTTGATAAAAACGTTGAGCTGCACGGTCTAAGAAGGTACACAGCAAGGACAACCAGTCATGCAAAAGTTTAACTGCTGCTGCTGTGCTGCTGTTGTTGTTTTCGTTGTCGTCGCAGTGACTGCCTTTTGAAAACAGCAATTACGAGGTAAATCACCAGGACATAATGCATATTCCACACAGCGAATCCGCACTTTAATCGATCACTTGCCACAAACGACAAACGGAACTACCGATGAGCGAGGAAGAAAGGAGGGAGGAAGAGAGAAAGTTGTTGATGTGCTAGTGCAAATTATATACGGCAAACAGCATTCAAAGTGAACATTGCATGCTTCCAATGGAAAACGAAGCACGTCTGATCGATGGGCTACGATTGCCCGGTGTGTGTGTGTCACAGACAGCGACAATGACAGAGACAGACAAAACAGGTAGAACACTACCACAAGTAAACTAAACAGCAGACAGACGAGCCTCTTCTTCCTCGATCGATGCACACATCACTCCAGAGACAGGCCAATTAACCTGGACACGAGGGCGACCACACTGTCACCGTTTCAATGCTAAATCAATAGTCAGACTGACAAACAGTAGCAAGTTCGTGCCAGGCAGCAGACCAGGCCACACATACTGGTGAATGAAAAGACGCTAAATAATGACAACACTTGCAGTGAAAAATTCAGTTCACGAAAACACCCGGGAAGGCAGGAATCGGGCAGACAGTGTACCGGTTTTTCTATGGCTGCTTCTCTGCAGTGCACCACAATTGACAAGCACTGTCTTTTTCTTTTTCTCACAAGCAATTTACACATTCACTTTCTTTCTCCATTGCATTTGCATAGGGCAAGAGAAAATTGGGTGCTGCTGTTGCTTAACTATGAGGGCACGTACTGCTTGGTCAGTCTGCCTGTGTGTAGCTACAAAATGGGATTCCCGAAAACGACCAGACAACGACGAGGAGGAGGAAGAAAGCAACAATTCGACTGCCAGCTTGGATTTTAATTAAAGCTCAATCATTTGGTGGTAGGCTAGTGGAACGAGGCGGTTGTCAGGACCCGTAGCGTCCCCTAGAACTTTGCCCGCGAGAAGATTGTTATATCGTTGTTCCAGAGAGAGATAGAATTCAATTAATGCCTCACACAGATGGGACAACAGGAAAGTTGTGATCTCAATCGGGGACAATTATGCAGTAGTGNAGCTAGTGGAACGAGGCGGTTGTCAGGACGTCCCCTAGAACTTTGCCCGCGAGAAGATTGTTATATCGTTGTTCCAGAGAGAGATAGAATTCAATTAATGCCTCACACAGAGGGGACAACAGGAAAGTTGTGATCTCAATCGGGGACAATTATGCAGTAGTGTGCCAGTAGTGCTGACACTGCTGAGGGTCATAACATACCACACACACAGAGACATCGAAACAGTGTACAGGAGAAAGGGGAGGGCAGCGGACAATGGAAAAGCGAAGCACATACTCTAATCCGGGCGCCTTTCCTTCCTGCCACGTTGGCGCACAAGAGAGAGAGAAAGCCATCAGGCTGGCTGACTGGCTGGCAACTAGCTAGCTTTCCCTGCCGTGTCAAGGCTCACTGTACACTGAGCGCATCATCGTCGGAGATTCATTTTCACGCTCTCACTGTGTGGCATGTGTAGCCCTGAGTAGTGAAGCGCGCGCACACCATCTCCCCCTGTGCTAATTAGATGGCCACAGAGACTGTGCGTGTGTGCCTGTGTGTGTGTTTGTATACGCCGATGATGACTAACAATAAGGGCGATTAAATTAATTAGACAATGTAAAGAGGGGCAACGAAGCAAGGGTAATGGTAATGGTAATTGCCAACGGTGTCCATTCCAGTAGTGGAGACAGTGGCTCTGAAGGATGCTATGCTGTGGGTACACACAACAGAGGGGGCAGTCTGCGTCGGTTAGAGCGAGAGAATACACGCCACAGCAAACTACGATTCAATGGACTGAAAGAAGTAAAAGGGAAAGAGAGAAGGAAAGCGACCATATTGGCCAGAAGTAAAGACGGTAGCAAATGGGCAGATAAACTAAGTGCTGTGAAAGGGGCTAAAGAGCGTGTATGTGTGTAGAGTAGGCAATAAGCCCACTTACCAGTCGTGAGTGTGACCATCGGCGGTGTGCTTCAACTTCGGGTAAGCATTGTGGCTGAATTCGAACTGCACCTCGATGTCAACGTTGGTCTAGAGAAAAAGAAGGAAGAAAAGAGGATAAAGAGTTAGTTAAAGCTGATGTTGTTGTTCCTGCAGCATACGACAAATTGGTTGATGTTATTTAAATGTAGCAAATATTCCGCCGAGAGTACCGAGAGGGAAACACACGACAAAAAATGGTAGAAAATCCAAATTGCAAATAAATCTTCGCATGACAGCAGCACACTCACGCACCGTAAGAGAGAAGAGTCTTTCATTTAGGTAGCAGTAGTAAGTAGAGGAAAAACATGGCACCCAAAAGGGTGGTCATGGACGACTGTGAGTGCTCACTGGGGACCACGGCACTTTTCAGTGCATTCTTTCCAGAGAGTTCGACAAAAAACGAAAAAGATTCTTTTGGTGTGTTTCGGCAGTGGGCAGTGTGAGTCAATGTACGACAGTTGCCTTTGCCTAAAACCACTCTTCCCAGACCACCTCCTAAGCTTCCTTTTCCAACAAAACTACCGCCAACACACTCACTCGTCTTTTCATAGAATCTCCCCTCCCCAAATGTACGGTGGCCGTCACCAATAGACCATGGCAGAGTGGCCGTACAGTAGAGCCGAGGGGATCAGACATCAATCATAATCAAAGGACGGCACCAGGCCCCCGCATGCCAACTAACTAATGAGACGGGCTGCTGTGCCAGATAATCTACCTGAAATAGAAAAGAGAAAGAGAGAATGTCTGTGGGTGCCCAGCAAAAAACAAAAACCGAAATAAAAAAAGTCAGTGGGCGCAAATGGTGGTGGGGTGAATTGGCCAGCAGTGTCTCCACNGAAAAAACAAAAACCAAAATAAAAAGAGTCAGTGGGCGCAAATGGTGGTGGGGTGAATTGGCCAGCAGTGTCTCCACTGGAGGTCTTCACTCTGATGAAGGCTGTCACTCAGGCGAAAGTGATCAGACCCCGAAATCACCATCACTGTGTTGTCCTACAGTGATCATGCACCGACCGACCGCTGCTTCTCTGGTGCGAGACGCTGCAGGGACCAGAAGAAGATGGTGGTGGTGCACCCAGTGCACTTCTTCCTCGAAATGCAGCTATTTAGTGCAAAGTCAGCAAAATGGGTACCACCACAGCAGAGCACCTTCTCGATCAGTGTTTGCGGTGTGAGTGTGTGTGTCTACCACACCGGAATATAATATAATACTGCTAATAACACACAGGAGCCATTAGCGGCGGCACTAGCGACTTGCGGGCTGGTGCAGTCGACCATTCACTCATCCCATTGTGTGTGAGTGTGTGCCCACACTACCGCAAGAACCTACACACAGAACATATTCACAACTCAAACAGACACATATTTGAGATAGTCAGCCAGCCACCAGAAAGGGAAAAGTAATGTCAAACACTTGCACTGTGAGAGTGCATTGCACACTCTCTGCCTCTGCCTCTGCATCTATCTCGCATTAGCGTTAAAGCCTTTGCGCTGGCGCTGGTGGTCGGAGGGACAATTAAAAAATGGCCTTGGTCGGCAAAGGCACAAGTTGCACTTGCACTATCGCAACATGGCAAACCAAACCAGCGCCGGAGAATCGATGGCGGTCACGGCACAGGGGCGCAGAGCACTAAAGCCAAAGACCAGGTGCTTAGGCAAACCACCACCATCATTGCTGTTGTTGCTCAAAGGCCACCATCTTCCCTTCTGCAGCCCTCAGAATCGCATGGCCTTTCAAGGCTTGTTTGCGTTTGCATGAGCAAACACACTCTCTGCACTCTCACTGCTGCTGCTGTGCGTATGCAAGTGCGTCCGTCTTGAGAATCAACTCGACACTGGGGAATTCACTTGGCCTAGATGAATGCCACCGCTGAATCCTTTCACTGTAACAGTTTTCCAGAGTGAGCAGGAGGCAGGGGAAGGGGGTGACTGCATCCGAACGCACCGAGACGTTCTGCGGAAGAAGGCAAACTAAATCGGAGCAATCGCCTGCAATATTAATCAGGCACACAAACACAGACACACACATTCGCCGTGGGACGCAAGTAAATAAGTCGCAAGTCGGCTGAAGCAGCGGAGACAATGCAAATGTGTCTGCGGTGATAGAGAGAGGAAAGGAGGCAGACGCCGGTTTATTAGCGGGCGCCTCTACTCCAAGATGGCTGCTTCAAGCAGACAAGCACACAAACACAAACTTCTATTGACAGAACCAGTCAGGACTTGGCCTATCTTTTCCCTTTCCCCTCCTTTTGCGCTAATCATTAGCGGGAAATGAGAAGTAAACCCCCTCTTCTCTCTCTCTCTTCTTTCTTTCTCTTCCCTTCAGAGTATCCGAGCCGACTGCAGCAGTGTAATAACAATCAACCTTATTTTCGCACAGCAACAATTCAATCGCATTACCATAAAGATCGTTAGGAAATCAATGAGCCACTTTGAATGCAAAGCAAGCATGTGTGTATGCGAGAAGAGAGGAAGAGAAAGGGGGCTGCCTTTGCATTATGTTGCACCAGATAAATTAAGCTTGCAATCCACTCTCTCTCTCTCTCTCTCTCTCTCTCTCTCTCTCTCTCTCTCTCTCTCTCT